AAACTCAACATGAATTAAGTACATCAGCGCAAAATTGGTGGCCGCCATGTGCCATACAATTTCTAGATTCAAATCATTTATGATTTTTATGTCCTACAATGCTTTAGAAAATAAATATAAAATTATATAAATAAGTATTGAAGAAGAATACTTATTTATATAAAATTATATAAAGAAGTATTACTACAAGGCGAAAAGTCACGCAATAGATTTCAATGCAATAAATTATTTCTGAAATTCTCTTAAAATGTTAGTTGGAATTGGTTTACGAACAAAAGCCAAAACATATCGACATAAATAGAAATTTTTTATTTCATGTGAGTAATTCGAATTTTGTCCCTTTTTCAATATCCATAACCTAATTTTACTTCAAGTTGCAGGTAGAAAATCCTATTAGCCTTTTATTAATACTTGAGAAAATCTTTTTGTAAAACGACTCAAAACAGCAGGAATTTAGGATTGGTTTATTCGAAAATTTCGGCGAATATTTGGAAAGCTGCGAGGTCAAATAGCAGTGGAGGCTTGCCGATGAAACTGATCTTGCATTTCAAGTATTTTGTGACCTGATTCTTAAAAAAACATATTTTGTGTCGCGCATGCAATGGTAGAAAAGCCATAAATTTCGAGAACTCTCTCAAAATTACCAAGCTTGTGACCTGCATGCAATATATAGTAGAAAGCCTTAAAGATTTTTCGACCGGTATAGAGAAGCGTCCGGCATGTCTGCGTTGCATGTTAAAGTAAGAGACCCATAGAAATTCAACCTACTGGTAAGATATTTCTTTCCTAGACGATGCTGGTAAAAGGCTTACTATTCTTAGAATTTTTTAAATGCGCAATTGCGCATATATATAATTTAACTGCGTAGCTGATGTTTGTTTTTACGCATTTCGTTTTATCGCTTTCGAGGCAATACATGCCAGTGGATCACGCATCAATTATAAAAGAGGATAACCGAATATCGAAATTAAAGAATCATGTCCTTGTGTTTATTATATATAATAATCATTATAATATGTCCTGTAATCATTAATAATATTGTCGATGATACGTATCATTGAGCCATTATTCTTCCATCAGCTTCCTCTATATGCATGCAATATCGTGAGGTGCCAAAGAAAGAAAAATTCTCAGCAAGTAAAGATTTCGGTGTTCAACAAATAATTGTCTTAGAATTTATTGTAGGTTACATTTTCTAATTTGGCAGATTGTTATCCCACCATGACATCCTATATGTTCACGTCCATTTCCAGAAAGTTAAAATAGAAAGTTACCGTCGAATGTCCACAGAGCAGACAATTCGAGGAGAAACCAGAGCAACGGTGCACCTTATTAGCAAACTGTAACTTTACATAGACTGGCAATTCTAATTAATTGCTTAGTAATTATATGGAATATATAACTAGTTTGAAAGGTAATATGATTGGGCAATAGCTTGAATAACAATTCGGGTTACTTCCAAGAAGTAGCATGAATTTACGCTTCCATGAAAAAAAAAAGATATAATTTGCACCATTATTCCCTTTCTTTATTCATGTCTTACAGTTAATATTGCTCCATTATAATTTGAAAATTTTTTGCAGGTGTACTGAAAAATTAAATATTATAATGTTACTCCTAAACTAAGAATGCGTAAAAGTTGCTAGATAATCTAGGTCATGATGGCGGCTAAGTTAACCGAAAGCGAACTCAAACTCAAATACCTTATGGATAAAGGAAATTCCTAGAGCTCTTCCGGTTTAAGAGAGAACACTGAGGTATGGACTGCGTAATTATGGGTTGGAGCTTTAGAAAAAACGGAACCTTTGAAAATACACATTAAATAAGTTAAGATGATATACGAACTTACAAATTGTGCGAATTGCTCTTTAGAAGAAAATAGATATAATTTCGTATATAATTATCAACGATTTGATAATTAAGGCCGTCGGAGCTGCAGTATTTAAAATAAGTTTGTATAGTGATTATATAGGCATAGGCTCTTCCATTCTACCACCGAATTTCGTTTTGTCCACGTACAGACAACGACTACATCTGAGATAACGTTGACCATTATTGACATGCGGTGCATAGCAGAGAAATGCGGTGCATAGCAGAGAAATGCGGTGCATAGCAGAGAAATGCGGTGCATAGCAGAGAAAAAGAACGTAGGCCTACCGGGAGTAGTCCACAGGAAGAGTATCGGCAGAGTTTCTAAAAAAAAACACGCATGCTTTCCGTAACAGGTGCGTACAGTAGGTCAGATACGCTGCGTCTTGTAGCCTAGCCATACGCCTGCAGATGGTCGAGCCAAGTTGCTGTACGCAATGGTAAAGCAAGCGTAACTCACTGTCTAGAATTTGCAAAAAAAAACATTTAAAATGCAATTTTTAAATCCCGATGCTCATTCACCGGCTTAAAAAAATAATCATGTAATTGTAAAAGGTGTCAATTTACATAGATTTATTTGATGAAGGGTGACTATTGGAGTCTGTTGAAAACAAATTTATTCACCAGGTAATAATAGGCATATATGGTGAAAATAGTTGAATATTTGAGTTTTAGTTTTCTTATTATCATCAATTATGTAGAGAAGGCCAATAATATAATGACATCGTCTCACTTGCACACCAATTCGAGACTTCATTCTGAAACTCTTGTATACAATCGAACGTTAAATTTTGCTTCTACAGTTAGGTTTAATTATTATATATACGTTTGACTTGTTGCTTATTAAACTTAGGTCGATATATTCGCAATTGAATAAATTTGAATGACAATATTTAACATTATACTAGCATTTAGCTGAAAAAATGCAATAACTCAAATTCATTATGAAAAACCAATTGCGATCGTTAAAATTTCATTATATTATCCCTGAACGTTCCAAATATTTAATTTAATTACATTATTACTGAACGTTCCAAATATTAAATTTAATTGTATTATCACTGAACGTTCAAAATATTTAGTTTATTTGTACTAGAACTGAATGTTAAAAATATTTAATTTGATTGCATTATCACTGAAAGTTCCATATATTAAGTTTCATTTTATTACCATTGAACGTTACAAATATTTAATTTCGTTGTATTATGACTGAACGTTCTATCAAATTGCAGGTTCAGACAAACTTCTTCTGCATTTAACAATTAAACAACTTACACATTATATTTTTGCTTAAACGAGAAATCAATCCGAAAAAATCATCATGTCAAATTGCCAGTTCAAAAAACATACCGTTCAAATTGCCGGACAAATGCTTGAGCAATGTTGCCAGTTTCTTCCTCACACTTTCACCAGCTTCAACTCTTACAACTTCCCCAGCATAAGAACTTGCATGTGATGCGGCTTCATAAAGCGCGTGGCTGGCAAAGATGAGCATCCGGCGAGTTCTATCAAAATGTAGAGTTGTTTTGCTGCCTCTTCTCCCCATAGCTTCTTTATTCTTCTCTTGCCTTTGCTTATCTTTCTGTAAATAAGCTCTTCATAAGTTATTCTCTTCGTAAAAATCGTTAACAAATCGTATTTAAGGCAATTACAGTTAAACTGGTTTTTGCCGCAGCAATTTATAAACAAAATTTACGTCGAAGACTGCACATTGAAAGGATGTGAATCTATTTAAAATCGTAAGAATTTCAAGAGCCTGTACTCTTGGTTTGAATTAGTTCGCTGCACATTGCAAACAATGCAACATTAGTTCGCTGCACATTATTTGCATTATTAAATTCACATTGCACAGTCAAACACGTTCGAAATTTGTTCGAATTTTGGTGGTATTTTAAATGTCACTGAGAAGCTTCGTTCCTCAAATGTGCTCAAATTGCAAACTTGTTTTATCACAAAAACCTGAAATATGAATTTAATTCTTGAGTGTTTATCTCAGATAGTTCACCAAATAAATCTCTGTCGATGCTGTGCTCAAGATAATACACAAATAATATTTCACAGTCTTAGCTTTTAACTAAAGAAATCATTCAAATTTCAATTCTAATAACTCAAAGTCTCTGCAAGGCATTTCCTCATTAAAGCTTGAGAATAATTTCATCTCGTCTCTTTTTATGGGCACCGTCGCTTTCTTCAATAAAAGTGAGAAGCGTTGGGCAGGCGGCGAAAGTAGAGGCCGGAGGCAGGCCAGCAACGAGGCTATTATTCATGGCACGTAGACCACCGCTCTCACTCGCTCACACACCACGTCTTTAATCGTCAAAGTTCTGTTCTGAATTTAAACAATGTACTGATGAAATAAAACTGGACAGATTAGTTTCGGTTATCTGATAATAGTGTTGCACAATCATCATCTCAATATCATTAGATTAGCACAATAAATCGTTGAATATTTAATCCTAAAACTGAGTAAAATTAATGCGGTCTTTTCCAATTTCCTTTCCAAAATGTATAATATTTAAATTTTCCAACATAAATTTGCATTTATTTGTACAAATTTGTATTTACTAATAAAAATTCAGCAAGTAAACTGAAACCAGTTGTGAGGCACTCGATAAAAATTCAGAAATCCACTCACTTAAATGAAAACAAGGAAAAAAATCGACAAATATTTTGAGTATTTGCTTTACTTTCGGTCGAAATTAATTAAATCGGTAACGGTAGTCGTCCATGTTATTTTACTAATCCAAATATATTCAGTTGCATGAGCAAGCGAGCTCTAATTAATGTCGATTTCATATTGAATCAGCTTACATTTTTACTCGTGTTTCAAAACAGGCAGCAAAGCAGTCGATCTTACTACAACCTGACAGGACCTGATGTTTTCTTTGGTGATGTCATTGTTTATGTATAGATCCTGCAAGGTTGGATATGTACCTCTTTCTTAGTTGCGATTGCACTATCCTGATCAAATTCTAAGTGAAACCTGTGAAAAGTCTTTGACTGGAAGAAGCCAACTTGTTGAAGGCGATGAGAAAAAAATAATTTCTTGCTACTCTCTATTTCCCAGAACTTTTCCGGCTCGATGAAACATTGCATTACATTGCACGTCTCTAACTGTTGTTTTGTTTCAGGTGTGGGCCAATGACGGTGAGGCAGAAAAACCTGACGTGGCGGTGAAAGCCTTGGAGATCGACGGCAAGGCTGTTGCACAAGACAGATCTTCAGACGCGGCTTACATGGACGAAAGTCATACCCCTTCGGACCAAATGGCTGTAGAGTCTATTGATCGTCACTATTCTGTGCAAGCTCCTCCACCTCAGCAACTTATGCAGGGAGGTCCTATCCCGTTCCCAGTGTCTCTTGCGGCCAAACCAGGCAGTCTTGTTCTCCCAGGCCATCCTTACCTCCAGCAACCTAGACGTCCGGTTTATGGCATGCCGCACCACAGGCGAAATTTCCCTCCTCCAGCTGTGGCTAAGATTCCTCATCCGGTACGACCTAGCTATTCACCGGCTCCTGCGTTGGGTCAGATCCCAAGGCAACAGGCCCCCCGATTCGCTCAATTCAACCCTCCTCCACCTCGATCATTTAATCCTACTCCTCACCCATTCAACATTCCACCCCCTACAGCAAGAGCAAGTTTTCCTAATCACAATGGAGTATTATTAAATGTTCCCACTGGAGAACCCGTATACCAGCCGCCGCCACCACCACCTCCTCCTTCTCATCCTTCCCCTGCAGCGGCTCCACCGCCCCCTCAAAATTCACTTCAGAACGAAGGACCTGATTTTGGAGAACCTAAAAATAATGATTTAATAGAAGAAAGTGAATCTTCCAGGGTGGTTCAAGCCCTAAGCCCGCCACCACAAGTACCAACTCCTTTGTCACAAACAGCAAAAAAACTCAACATTGAACAAGATCAATATGTCCCACCCGCCCAAATTGAACCTCGTCAGCCAATTTCTAACAGCAAAGATCAAATTGCTGTAGAAAGTCACCGGGAAAATGTATACGTACCACCAACAGCCGGGGGCCCAATTGAACAATGGCCCTCATCCGCTCCTGACATGCCTCAGATTGTTGGATTGGATGTGAAATGCGACAAGAATTTGATGAAAGTGAGAATAGAATTTGATAAACCATTTAACGGGATAATATTTAGCAAAGGACATTACAGTAACGTTCATTGCGTTCATTTACCAGCTGGTCTTGGAAGGACTCACTCCACCTTTGATGTGTCTATTAACTCGTGCGGCACAACCGGCAACACTGAGAATGGATTGTACGGGTACGGTAGTCAAAGTGGATCTGGCACTTATTTTGAAAATACAATTGTTATTCAGTATGACCCACAGGTTCAGGAAGTGTGGGATCAGGCAAGGAAGCTCAGATGTACGTGGCATGATCAGTACGAAAAATCAGTGACATTCCGTCCATTCGCAGTTGACATGCTTGACGTAGTGAGAGCTGATTTTGCAGGTGACAATGTTGGCTGCTGGATGCAAATCCAAGTAGGTAAAGGGCCTTGGGCTTCAGAGGTTTCGGGCTTGGTAAAAATTGGACAAACCATGACAATGGTTCTTGCCATAAAGGATGACGATAGCAAGTTTGATATGATGGTTCGTAACTGCATGGCTCATGATGGAAAGAGGGCTCCAATCCAATTGGTAGATCAACGCGGTTGCATCACTCGCCCCAAACTCATGTCAAGATTTACCAAAATAAAAGACTTCGGTGCATCCGCATCCGTGCTATCATACGCTCACTTCCAGGCTTTCAAGTTCCCAGATTCGATGGAGGTACATTTCCAGTGTACTATTCAAATCTGTCGGTACCAGTGTCCTGAACAATGCTCTGAAGGACTCTCTCATGGCTACTCAGGAGGAATTGCCAGCGCCCCCAGAGATCACAGACGAAAGCGCGCAGTCGATGACTCCAATGACGACAAAGACAATGAAAGTGACAAGGAGACAGACATCGGCGTCAACAGAGTCATTCAGGTGGTGTCAACGCGGGACTTGACATTCATCTTGGAAAAGAACGGTACTGACGCAGAAGAACTGCGGGAGATCATGAAGGAAACATTGGTCACTTCAGATGAACACAACGGTCTCGTTTGCATGTCAACCCCAGGATTCGCTGCAACGCTCATCGTTCTTCTCGGAATCTTGATTGTTTCATGCTTATTATCAGCGTTTATGTGCCTTAGGTTCAAAGCAGCTCCAGGAGGTGGTAGCATTATTTCTAGTTATGAGAACCCAGCATTTTTAAGAAAACAAGATTGCTTCGAATTCTAACAGAGCAGTAGCATTGCCAGTATTTCGATTATTGCTCATTTAACATAGATGAGACGGGAAATGTACTTTTGATGCATGGATGGTGTGAAAATTCCCCTCAATAAGTTTCTTTGTGAACTGACATAAATTTCCACCCCTTGGAAGATTCTCAAGAAATTCCAGATGTTTGTGAGTGATAATATTCTTGATGTGTTGTACATATTTAAAGAGCTCGAAGATACCGCTCAATTCACTTCGTAGTTAGAGTAGAGATAATATGTGAAAATTATTATTGGAAAAATGATGTACATGCCTAATAAGAAAATACCTATAGATTGGTTTTAAGCAATTAAACTTAAATGATAATAGTCCACATATCCCTCTATCTTCAAAGATCACATCGCATTTAAACATCTTATTTCAGAGAGTCACTTTTTGTTAACATTTATCTCATAATTGCTATTGCCCCGTCATGGCGTCTTCCTCCAAATGTACAGCACATTTTCCATTCACTTTGCTATAGTTTTCACGCTGAAGAGCTAAATATGATTTATTACTAACGAGTATTAGCGAGAAAAGAGCCAAACATTTGAGGAGATTATTAGGGCAAATTGAAAAAAATGAATAAATACTGATGGAAATTAGTGTTTAGGTTGACAAGCAACTCCTCTTTTCGTAATTGTTTCTGTCGTAGAGAAAAACAAAGTCAAGGAGGAAGTTCAAACATGAACAAAAGTTTCTGAAGTTTGATATTCTTCAATGCTTGCAGTTTAGTTGGAAATTGCGTTAAAAAAAATAGTATTCCGTTTTTACTTAAAAATAGTATTCCGGATCCACAGGACCTGTCATATAGAATAGAATAGAAGTGTCGGTACTGAAGAAAAATGTCCAATAAATTAGTTAGGATTCATCGTAAATCGCAATCAGTAAACTAGTAATCATGTAATGTTTGCAAAAAATGACCAAATTGAAATATATATTTATTTTCATAATGTATGTATTCACATATAATTTGACTGCCGAAACTTGTCTGCATTTCTAAATTGTGCACATCGACAGTAATTGGCAGCTGGAGACCTATTTAAAATAAAACCAGTGTTATAATACGAGCACAGCTCTTGAAATGTCGTATGAATACAAACTACGAGTGAGTGAACAATATAATTTCACGTCAACCATTAATATTTTCTATAGGAACATTGTTACTAATCCAGTATGTATATAATGTTTGGCATACTTCTTCTTAAGTTTGATGTGTTTGTTGAGTTGTTGCTTAGTTTATATGTTCCGTTGTTGATTGTTTTTTGAAAGTATTTATTTATTGAATGAATGTCGTGTGCCGTTGATTGTTTTAGGTCTTTGGGTGTGTGATAATGTTATTCCATTAAAATAAGTTAAGAGGATTGTTGAAAGGAAATTTGTCAACATTTCAGATATGCCAAATCTATCGAGTATAAAATTTGATTACAGCTTTTCAAGAGAATTAAACTAAAAAAAATGATTCGTAAGGTTTAATTTTGACGAGTGGATTCCGTTTATATCTAATAAAAAGAATTTTTAATTGATATAATATGTACTTTCTTTATATTAGTTGCAATGGCGATGGCTGGATAACGTGCGGGCCGTCAAGCCCGTGACGCCAGAACGACAAGGACAACTAGCGGCATTTGTTAAATAAAACATATGAAGAGACTTGTGTTTTTTTACTTATCTAATTCATTGAAATTTAAGTCGATACAACATTAATTTATCTTGTGGAGCGCGTGGCGCATTTATATATCAATGAAGAATTTAAATCCAGTACTAAAACAATACACAAATAAAAGAACTGGGGGGTTTTCCGTTTACCTATGGTAAGAATTGTATCACGTTTCAAAACGCAATAGAAGTTATTATTCCGGGCTGTCCTGTGTATGCAAACGGTGATGTAAATCACCAGTTTGTGCACAAGTTCCCAACTCTTTCAGTCTTGGTTTTTCATTCAAGAATTAATAAGGATTACTGTTCTGATATTTTTATGACGAAATTAACATTGTACGTCTGTTGGAGTAGAAGACCCGAGACAAGGTTTTTCTAACCGTGATGTTACTGGAATTTGATAAACGCCGAGTATTAAATTTTAATGTCGTATATTTATTATTTTTCTCATTATCCCCGCACAAAAAATCGGCATTTTTTATATCATTTATGCTTCGATATTGAGGGACATTGGATTATATGTGTACAAGTAATAATTTATTCTCCTGACCTGGTGTGTGGAAATAGAAAAGTGGATGCACGATGAAGTTAATTAAGGAAAGACTTGAGTGTGTAACAGGAAAAGAAAATTGATCGCATAAAACAGAGATAAATTCATACTTCACGACAAAATTCGTTCATAAGGATTATAATTTTTCATAGAAATTACGATTCGTAACCCAGTTTGTCGTTGGTGCGCAGGCGTTTCATTATAGAGAATATTGATTTTCGTTACGCTCTCTGAACGAAACACCGTAGCCAGCCTTGATAACACCAAATATTTCGTAAGCCATATGATGCTTTTATTTTACTCCCGCTACCAAGTCTCATCCACGCGACAACATTTCTTCTCGCGTCGAATCACCGACATGTGGAACAGCCTCCCCGATGACATCGTTGGCATTCCGAGTATGAACGCGTTCAAGAACAGACTAGATAAAGCTATGGAAAAATATATGTTCAGATTTGAAATGCCTAGCACCATATCGAACCCGGTGGAAGTCTAGTAGATATTTGAAACTATCGTCAGTCATGAAAAGATCCGGTCAAATAACACGATTTTATATCTTCTATGAACGAGTCACAAAAAATACAAAAATCGGCGACAGGCCACATCAGGCCTACTCTTCAGCGCCGACATCACTATGATATGATATGATTTGATATGATAGATATGATATGATATGATATGACATGATATGATATGATATATGATATGATATGATAGATGACATGATATGATAAAGAAGCTCAATAATTGACTAGCCAAATCTGGCCTATCGCCGATTCCAGACATAACAGAATTATTACAGCCTACTGGGGTTTCAAACCCACAACTCGCCGCTCCAATTTAGATGTTCTCAACCCCGGCCACCTCACTGATTTCGACCAGAAGTGCCAGTCAATGAAACTGGGATCGAACGCACAACTCACCGCTTCAATCCTGGTACTCTGGTGAGCCGTGATCAGATATGCCGAAGGCCAGTCGGTGCATAGTTGAACTAGTACAAGGTTGACCCATCAGAAGCCCATTTTTGCGGATGTAGTTTGTTGTTCGCCTGTGACGTCACTGATCTCAGTGACGTCACAGGCATTAACCAATCACCGAGATGCGATCAAACCAGTCAACCAATCCGTCGTGGGAATGACGGGTTTGTTTACGTTTCTCGATCTCAGTGACGCAAAAAGAAAGCTGAACCGAAAGACGGAACTTCTCGTGGGTCAACCTTATATAGTTCAACCATGAGTCGGTGTTGACAATAATCGAGCGGCTTCATGGAAACAGTAGATTTTCGATTGATCATTACTACGAGAAAATAATGCTCTCTGCCAATGGGAGCGCAGCCGTGGGTGACAAAATTGACTCGTTAACAGGCCCTGGGCCCAACGCCAACCATCAGCATGCAATATCTGTACATAGCCTCAGATCAATGAGCTGTGGGTAACTCCGGCTAACAGTAAATCCGCTTTGCATAACACAGCCACTGCTTCACAGCACCGGAGCACAACTGGCCGGAGCGCAACAGGCCCCACCGCAACAGAGGCGCAGGTTAGGTTAGGTTAGGAGTAGCCTGTTGCGGTAGGGCCTGTTGCGCTCCGGCCAGTTGTGCTCCGGCCTGTATGCGCTCCGGCCTGTGACTGAACGGCGCTGTTGTGTCGAAAGCCGTGAAGATGCCCGGCTGCGTTACGCTAGGGAAGGTATATGAATCGCACTGTGGACTTGGGCTATGCTGACCTCTAGCTATCCACCCCTGCCAATGAAACGTCATCTACATCGCGGCAAGGACCGACATCATACCAGAAAGTTCATATACTAAAAACATTCCATACATGTAAGCAAAAGCACATAGTCAAGCTACTAGTAGCCGTCAAATATATTTTTCTATTCAATATCACATGCCAATTTGTGAGTTTTAGAAGCTGTATTCAACGTAATTACCTAGAAAATGCAATTCTTAGCATCGGAAAAATCGCAAGCCTCAGGTCATGTTGAAAAATGCTTGAGAGTATCTTAAGTCAATCTTGTAATATATCCAATATTGTATAATGTTGTGAATAAATAGCTTCGTTGTTAACTAGGTCAAGATCGGTCTCGATTCGTAAAATTTATAGATGGAAAACCTGCTAAAAATTAGCGTTTAACGTGCGAATGAAAATCGAAGCAGAAAAAAACTACTGTCGGTGCTAGCATGAACATAATATCAATAAATATTTCCAATTTTAATTGTTCCTGCCTGGTTTTGATTTGACAAACTTGTGCGTGGTAAACCTGCTACGGAAATTCACCCCAAAAAAGTCGATCTGGTCTTCGTACTTTTCTTTCGACCCAACTCCAACATCATTGACAACCTAGATGTTTTTTGATGATATACAATTTATGATAGATATCGACAAAAGATTTATACACAGATTCAGTGTCTTTCTGCCGTGCCCCTGGGTTTGTGCTGCAAAGCACCGTCGTATGGCAAAGCATACCTATTTAGCAGCTGCGTTTTAACGCTGACAAATGTAAAGTTATCCACCTTGGCAAGAATAATGAACAGCAAGATTACAATATGAGAAGACACGGTTGCAACGTGCGGGTGCAATTGTACATGCGCAAAGTATATATATTGTCTTTTATAAATGTCAGTGCCAATTTACACATAAATAGAATTTAAGGTCTTATACTGCAATTTAATATTTGTTTAACTTTATTGTATGTAAATAAATCTTTAGAGTACAATAAAACTTGATTTAGAAATGACAGTTCATGCCGACAATTTCTTATTGGGCTCGGTAGATGGCGCTGCTTCTATACAGAGGGTGGTTGTACATAACTCCAGCGTGAATTAGTCCTTCATCTCACTCTAGAAAAAAATCAACCGCTAGAGGGCCAGCGCTGTGCGCTCGTACTATGCAATGTACTAATAAATAATAATAAAAATATCAGTTTTATAGGTGATGAAATCAATGAAAATGTAAAATGATCCATTCAGTCACAATTTGGCATCGAATTATTTTCTGAATATGTCCAATGTGAAAATAATCAATTCAAGTTCTATTTTTTTCAAAACTGCGGAGTAATAAGCTAAGCAATCAAAAATTCTGAAAAAATTGTTACATGTAGTTTATGATTTACTTTATAAATTATGTCATGGGGACGAACGAGTGAGTAATCTTCTTTCCAGTTGTGCTATGTGTATATCGATGTTGCGGGCTAATGGCGCTCCCTTGAGTTCGTAAATTAGTTGTATCCTCGATTGTACCGTTTAGTGTATATTTTGTACATAAATTGGTGAGTGTAAATGTTGTTCATTTGTTTTCAGTTCTCGCATTTCATTGTTTTTAAAAGTAGTTGGTTTTTCTTGAAAACGTAATGCATACCGACAAAATCTCCTGAGCTGTCACTCTTTAGTGTTAGCAAATACTTGATAATATTCATAATCATAGATAGTAATAATCATAGTATAGTAGCTAGTGTCAGCGTTGATTAGACCAAAGCTGGCTTTTCCGATTCTAGAATGTAGACATTGTAGAATTCAACAGATTGCTGAGGCTTCGAAACTATGACTCAATGCTTTCCTTGACTCTCTGAACTGTAACATCCCCCCTTCTCAAGCCAAGTTCTCACCAGAATTTGGATACCTGGAGAAAACATCAGCAAGAAAGTTTTCTTTACCTTTAACATACTCTATATCAAATGAATAATTTTACAATGATAATGCCCAGCGCTGCGGGCGGGCCGGGCAGCGCATTCTACGAGATGTAAGACACTTATTCTCATTTAGCCACATCAATGGAGCGTGATCAGTCCATACAATAAATTTACTACCGTATAAATAATCATGAAATTTTTCAATTGCCCACTTAATAGCTAAACATTCTAATTCTATTATTGCGTAATTCTTCTCGGCGTCTCTCAGCTTTCTACTAATACAAGAAATTGGTTTGTCTTTGCCATCACATCTTTGCCACAGAACGGCTCCTAATCCTAACGTCAAGGCATCGGTTTGGACAACAAATGTAGCACCTGGCGTAGGAATGTACCGTACAATGGAATATTCTCTTCTAAACATGACATGCTGTTGGAAAAACACGTTTTCAATTCTTCCGTCCACACAATCTTATCGGGGCAGCACTTTCTCAAGGTATCATTTAAAGGTGCTGCATATGTGGCTAAGTTTGGTGCAAATTTTCTATAAAAGTTTATCAATCCTAAGAATGAACGCATGTCTTTCTTAACAATGGGTTGTGGAAAGTTTTTAACGGCCTCCAATTCATAGTGACAAACCAGAGATTTTTTAGAATCAGTTCATTTTTAATTTCCTCATTTACCTAAGATTTAAACCAATTACATATGTATGATAAGGCTGGTATCCAGGATACTTTCCTGGTCTACTTCTACTGCATAGTGGCAAAGCAGCAATTTTTTTAGACTCTTCAAGTTCATTTTTGAGTCCTATAAGTAGTCT